CCCCACCTGGAGATGCAGTCGCCAATTGAGGACCCTCTCGATGAAGTCGATGATTTGACCGGCTACCCTGCAGCACGCGGCTGTAAAAGCTGTCGAGAAAAACAGGATGGTTGTTCCTTAGTGACAGGGGGCTGTTACCCATGTCAGCACTGTCGCGACGAAGGCGATGAATGCCAACTGATTGTCCCGGCGACCAGAAAAGGTTCATGTAAGCAGTGCGTTGACGGGAATGATTACTGCTCTTTCGAGGATGAGCCGGACCAGATCATCTGCGACAATTGTCTAAACAGAGTACATATCTGCCATGCACTGCCTCCCGAGGGTTATCGCAATGACAGGATAAGCATCGACGAGATCATGTACGGCGAGAACAAGCGACACATCGCCTGTACCAGTTGCCGTCAGGGAAAGAAGCGCTGTAGTCTCAAAAAGAAGACTGATAAGCCGCCCTGCAAGAACTGCAAGAAGAACGAGATTGGCTGTACCTTCTACGATATTCCAAAGAAGGCCCCGAAAAAGAAGGCTAGTAAGGGCAAGCGACCCGCTAAAGATGATTCACCTGAGCCCACTCCTTTGAGTCATGCCTACTTCACCGCCGAAGATCTCGAGGACTTGAATAACACAGATCAGCGGATAATATCTCGGTCACCAACACCGGAGATTGAACTGGAAGACACCGCGGGGCACAGGGGGGTACTGACGAAGATTAACACCAGCTTTTCCCACCCCATAAAGTTCGGTATGATCGAAAACACCTCCGATTGCAACTTTTGTGAGCTTCCCATCTACAGCTTCGTAGGCTTGTTTGAGAAGGAAGTCCATGTAATCTGCTGGGAAAACGGACAAGGATACACTGAAGTAGGCGGCGGCCACATGGAGAAAAACGGCCCGACAACTATGTGTCAATACTGCACGACGAGTAAGTTATATCTTGAGGAGGTCTAGTGTACTTCAAAGTCTTTCGCCTGCTCATTTGGAGCCTGAGAACTCCATGATATCTTCCCGGTGTGCTTGAAACAGTGCAGTTTTGCTAACCATACAACAAGGTAGAGCCCAAACCATAATTTGCGAAAGTCACGACATACAAAGAATGGAAACAGGTTTCAGAGGCACTATCTCAGGCTTCGAAGAGGCATTGTACGACCTCTTTGAATTCGCAGATGAACCTTATGAAATCAAGAAGCAGCTCCAACAGTGGTGCTCCATGTGCTTCTCTCCTGCGGCCTTTGCCTGTCGCACTCGACAAGCAGCATTTCTCTCACCTGATGACACCAGAGAGTTGATTGATGGTTGTGGGTTGAAGCTTTGCACCCGCTGCGAAGAACAGCTTAGGGAAGTCTTTGGCGGCGACAGCAGCGTCATGGCGGCTACACTTGACCTTGAACCCAAAGCAAAGGAATTAGATAACGACGTTCAGGGGCTGGTTATTAGGGCGGACGTAGGCTTTTTGTCCAGCGAAGGTATACTGATGAAGAATCTGGAGTATGAGTTGGAAAAGAAGCGTCTGCAGAATGAGGCGGACGAAGGCAACATCTAAGCCGGCGGATTGAATTGAGGAGGTTTGAAAAGTGTATTCCGGACACGGATAAAGCTGGTAGGCATCTCAATGCAGTGGTATTTACTTGATTTTGATACTCGATATTTCTTTATCTCAATGTATTCATTCAATTCGGTCAAGTGGCACGCCAACACAAAAGGAGCCCAACCTGGATTTAAGACCCAGCCTTGCACTTGCCCAAACCGAAACAAATTATTTCTACAACAAGATAGAAACTACAGAATTCTTCCCCAAAACCGATGACTTTTTAATGCGCAAAGCGAAAGTCCAAGCGCTTATTCCCCTCCTCCTTTGTCGTCTCTAGATAAACCTCCTTCTGCTCCTTCGTCATACCTGTCCATATACCCTCTCTCTTCCTATTAACCGCCACATAATACAGCTTTGCCCCGATAAACAGCGCAAAGTTATACGCACATATACCCAGTAGAACCTTGTTACCCCTGCGATACAGCGGCTTATCGTCTTCTCGGTATATGTTCGTGCTGATGATGGAGCTAGCTTGAACACACATATTGTACATTGCGCTCGCGACGGTGCGAGTCCGCACTGTACCGGCATTGCGCGATGTGATGGCTACGAGGATAGCGTGGATGTATGGGTGACCGACGAGAAGCGATGAGACAGCCCAGCGAGCCCAAGGAGAGGCTTTTGCTGACAGCAACTCGAGGGCGATGAGGAGTGGGAGGGCCCAGACTTGGGAGATAAGGCCAACGAGGAAGCGTTCGTTGAAGCGCTCGGACATGTAGGTCCAAAAGAGGAGCTGGAGGATGAAGAGGACGTATGCTGGGATCTGCGCGTTGATTAGATCTGTTCAAGGCTGTATGTGTGTGTGGGAGAAGCTTACTGTGAGTAGATTGGTTTCAAAGGTGCTGAATCCAAGCGATCGGAGCTGCAGGGTAAGGTATGCAGTTGAAGGTGTCGAAGGTATCATCCATGACAAGCCAAGTAGGTAAATGGGCCACATGTGGTAATCCTTTGCACACTCCCACAGCATGCGAAAGCTCAGACCCTGTCTGTTGTGCATATCGCCCTTGCTTGGATCATCCCTCAATATACGATTAACCATGATTTTCTCTTCCTTCTCGTTGAACCACCCAGCCTTCCCGCGGAATGGGTTCCATCTCTGACTCGCAGTCTGAGTCGGGCTCGGCGGCAGGTAGAACCACGACGCGATACCAATCAAGCCCGTCAACGTTCCCTCCAAGGCGAACAGCCACCGCCAGCCTTCCATACCATTATGGCCCCGGAGGCGCAAGATGCCAAAAGCGAGAAAGGCAGATATAATCTGCGTCGATTGGTAGCTCACCCAGAACCAACTAAGCCGACCCGGTAGCTCCCACCCAGTGTAGAAGTAGCTGAGGTAAAGAATGCTGTCTGGGATGAATCCCCCTTCGCACAAACCCAGCAGTGCGCGGCAAGCGAAGAAAGATTTTCGCCCACTAAGGAAAGCCTGGAAGCTGGCGATGAGACTCCAGGACACCATCTGTATCGGGATCCAATTATCTGGCCCAAGCTTCTTGCTGATGAGTTGAGAAGGAAGTTCAGCGGATAAGAAGCAGAGGTAGAAAATAGTCTGGCCGTAATTGTAATCGTTGGTGTCCATGCCGAGGTCCCCGAGGAAATTGTCGCTGAGAGCTTGGGATATGTTGCCTCTGTCGAGTTGCAGTGCGAAGAACATCAAGCAGACCCAGGTACATATCCGTTTGTCAACCTAACAAAAGTAAGCGAAGGCTTCAGGTTGAATCTCCGATACTGTGCACATACCTTCCGCACCAAGCGCTTCTCCTCCGCGGGCTCCCACGTGAAGTCTGGATCATAGCGATGAATCCCTTCGTAGGTTTCGACGGGTCTGTAGTGATCTCCCGAGACCCCTGCCCCGGCAAAGGTATGATAGTTCTTTCCGTTTTTGCCAGACTTGTGGACTTCGGTGTCGCTGTTGCCGGCACTGCTACCAGAGACTTCAAAGTCGGATTTCCCATCAACAGGGAGGTCATCAGGGCGATTCGAGGTCGCCATGTTAGCAAATGATATGCCGCGCCAATATCACCGAAACTGTCGTCCGTTGGGTATCTTGGAGTGACTACGGGGGTTACCCCTCGTGTTATATGGTAGGCGCTGATTTGGCTAAGCATCTCTTGAGATCTCCGTCTTGTTTTTTTATTTCAGTACAGCTTCTAGATCTTGGCTAATTCTCGGCAGAAAGTGCCGTACTATTGCCAGTGTGGTCACTGAAGAGGACACTATCTCCATCAACCGTAGGTACTTTTTGCCATCATTGCGCTCCACTATCGGCGGCGCTCGATAACAGGTAACGTCCGCGGTACTTCCTGATCAATCAGCTGTACAGTAAATTGTATCAAACACACCGTGTATTGCACAATGCGTCCTTATCGCAGCCTCGCTATACACAGGCAGCAAAGACGCACATCTTGCGGGGAAACTTGTGCAACCGAGACATCGTTCAACATGTCGAATAACCAGCTATTCTGGCGTCAGTATATTCTCCGAGCGGGCCGTTACTGAAACGGCAAGAAAATAGTGGTCCTTATCCATGTCGCCAACAACCCAGCCAATCACGTCATCCGTCGTCGATCGCGAATACAGCGAATCAGTCCCGGATGAACTTATGCGGAGTACTTATGGCCGTCGTATCTCCTAGCGACATATCCGACATAGCTTGCGTGCTTGTAGAATCCAAGGCGATGTTGCCGAGGAAGGTGCCGCGGCAAGCTTAGAAAGGGAGTGGCTGCGACACCATCATGCCGCGTATGTGGGAGCGGGGTCGTGGGGTTTGTATGCGCATGCCAGTTTCCGGCAATTAAATGTTGCCACTATCAGTCTTGGATGAGTCTTGGGCGCATATAAGGCCGCTTGAAAGTGGATGAGGAAGCTCTCAAGCAACGTCTCTACCACGTTGAACCTTGATAGTTTGTTCTTAGATACTACCATGGCTCCAGCTCTTGTCGAACAGGTCACTGAACATGCCACTGTCGGTTACAAGTCCGGTATTGGACAATACAAGGAATTAGGTTATGGTGCCCCAAAAGCCTTTTCCAAAGACCTTGAGCTACGCGGCACCGAGAAACATGCCGGGTCCAAATATCCCCATTACCTACCTACCTGGGACAATGAGAAAGGGCAAAAGTAAGTACCTCAGATGTCTTAGTCAACCACTGGACTTATAATACCCCCAGATATCCCCCCTGGGAGCCCTTCACACATACCGAGCACGGCAAAGATGCCAACCCATCCTTCCCCAACCTCCTCAAAGATGCGAAAGTCGCCGACCTAACCGCCAACATCGGCGCCGAAGTCCACGGCATCCAACTAAGCAAACTGAATGACGCCGGAAAAGACGAACTAGCCCTCTTTGTCGCCCACAAGAAAGTTGTAGCCTTCCGCGAGCAAGACTTCGCAGATATCCCCATCAAAGACGCGCTTGCCTTCGGCGGCTACTTTGGCCGCCATCACATCCACCCTACCTCTGGAGCCCCAGAGGGCTATCCAGAAATCCACCTCGTGCATCGCGGTACAGACGACACGTCTGCGCGGGACTTCTTCGAAGAGCGGACGAATTCCATAACCTGGCACTCAGACGTGACGTACGAGAAGCAGCCGCCCGGCACAACATTTTTGTATATCCTTGATGGACCTGCAGTAGGTGGAGACACTTTGTTTGCGAACCAGGTCGCGGCGTACAATAGGCTTTCCCCTGAGTTCAGAAAGCGACTGCATGGCCTGAAAGTCGTGCATTCCGGTATGTATCCGCCTCCCCACTAAGCCGCTGCGATTGAAACAAACTGACCCGCATCTTAGCTGTCGAACAAGCAGATGGCAGCAGGAACCACGGCGGTATCGTCCGTCGCGATCCAGTGACCTCAATCCACCCCCTCGTGCGCACACATCCTGCCACAGGCGAGAAGGCGCTCTACGCGAATCCGCAATTTAGCCGGCGCATCGTGGGCTACAAGAAAGAGGAGAGCGATTTCCTGCTCAACTTCTTGTACGATCACATTGCAAAAGGCCAGGACTTTCAAGTGCGCATAAAGTGGGCGCCAGGTACGGTTGTGGTCTGGGATAATCGTGTTACTGCACACTCTGCGCTGCTGGACTGGGATGACGGCGCACGAAGGCATCTGGCGCGAATCACACCGCAGGCTGAGCCTCCGTACGAGACGGATTTCGAGGACAACAAGGCAGCAGGTAGCTTTGAGTATTAGTGGGGAGCTTGCAGATTACGGTTGGGAAGGAGGTAGCTAGTGACGTTAGATCAAACAGTTCAACCACATACACATACGAACTTCGAACTCCTCAGCACAACTAGTACATATCAGACCAAAGGCATTGATTATCTATCTACTACCGAATTTTGTCATCGAACGAATATTTTGAAAGAAACTTTCGTGTCTGATCTCTCCAGTCTCGCGCCCAGTCTTACATCAAGAAAGGACATGGGCCTGCACTCCCAATCCTTCTATCTGCTCGATCACACTGTCAGGCATTCCCCCATTCAAACCCTTTCGAAAATGACCGCAATAGTTAAAGCCACCAATACTCATACATAGAAGTGAATGTACTCTCGTCCCTACCAATGCTCCAGTGCCTCCTTTCGCCACGCCTTGGGTATATCCCGTACACCCTCCTGCGCCTGCAATGCAAACAGTCGTAACATGTATTCGAAAAGCACAATCATGAATGAGCTGCCATATAGGCGAGGTTTAGGCGAAGCCGAAGTACTCGCCACCAGCAGTCATAGCAGTGTACAGTGCCTTGCGGAGATCTTCATAGGTCTCGTACTCAGGAAGATCGAGCTCTGTGGCAGTATTAGTATTGAAATAATGGACAATCAGGGGGACAATAACTTACGGTTAAAGCAGGTATGACTGGAGGGCAGACGATCCTTGCTGCCATAATCACGGTGGATGTTGAACTTTGAGAAGCCGTTCATGCCCTCGAGCTCTTTGAATCCGTTCAGCGGCACCTTACTTGTACCAGTGACAAATTGCAACAGTTTGGCCTGCTCTTCCTTCTCGAACGTTCGGACGGCACGCCAGAACCACTGGATTTGTGGTGAGGCGGCTGTGTAGTTGTGGTACTCCGTGTTGTTCTTCCAATCGTCTACATTGATGTCGGGCAGACCAGAAATGAGAAGTTCGAGCTCTTGTTCGCTAAAGATGGAGACCAGTTCAGCTGGGACAATGTCGTGGAAGCCCTTGAGGAAGTTTTCAAGTTGCTCATGAACGGCTCCTGTGAGGCGATGCTCCGTGATGAGGCGAACGTACTCGTGCTTGTTGTCCTCAGTGACCGGGATGTTACGGCCGTTCTCGATGAGGTCGACTGTCTGCATTTCGCCGAAAGCCTCAACCTCTACTGAGAAGGTCTCTGTTATGATGTCCGTAATCTCGTTGTGGATCATCCATTCCAGAGATTTGTAGTACTCGAGGTCAAGCGTCTCCATGTCTTTGAGGCTGACCTGCTTGCCCATGATTTGCTTGTAGACCGCACGACTGAAATGGCAGTCAAGAACACGGCCTTCGTAAAGCGCCTTGCCAATGATGCGACCGATGAACTTGAAGAACATCAAATGCTCGGGGTTGATGGAGCTCAGTCGGTTAGGATGGAAGGTAGTGCGATCCGAAGCAACAGGCACAAAGAGAGCGTAGTCCGCGTTGAACATCTGGCGTGAAATGGACTGGAACCATTCTCGAGTGACACCTCCAGCATCAACACCCTCTTCACCGTGGAAACGAATGCTGAGCTTGCCATACTTCATCTCATCGGCTGACTTGAAGTACAACGACTTGAAGCTGTCAAGGAAGACCTGGTCACGGCGAACAGAGAGCTGCAGCGGTGGGTGTACATGGTGTCGATCGGGACCGCGAGAGTGCAGCTTCCGGTTGAAGTAGTTGCGCTTGTTGTCAAACTCCAGGACCTTGGAGTTCTTCACCAGGAGAGAGAAATTACCAGTCATCAACTTAGGATTCTGGCGGACAAGGTCGTTGAGAATCTTGCGATGCTCTTCTGTAAATTTGAAGAACAGGTTCTCCATCTTGTTCTCAGGTGGCGGGCTAGACAAGGCGAACTCTTTGGGAAGCATCTTGGAGAGAGGTAGCTCCTTGAGAGAGGTGTTCTTGCACACGACCATGAGACTCTCAATCAGTGGAAGCAAAGTGGTGGCGATGTTGAGCATGTTGCCGCGCTGACGAATGACTGTGAGGCATTCGCTGAGTTTCTCCCACAGGGGCGCAAAAGCGCTGTCTTCATATAGGGTCAAAAGAATGTCTTCTTTCTGAGCCGGCTCAAGGGCCTCTGCTGCAGCCTCGGGTCTATCTTTGCTGTCGCGAGACGGGTCGAAGAGGTAGTCTAGCGCAGTGAGCGCCCTCAGTAGCTTAGCCTGGTCTGAGCTTGCTGGGGAGAACTTTGCGAGAGCGATGCCTTGCACATCAGTCGGCGAGCTCGCTTTTGACACCTGGACCGTCAAGCTATTGAGATCTTGAAGTGACGATATAGCAAGGTCTTTCGCGATGCCTAGCAACTCCTGTCCAAATATCTCCTTGGCGCCTGGAATTGGCGACAGATTACTGATGACCGATATAGTTTCCTGGAAAACTTTACTGTTGCACTCCCGAGCGGCTAGAATCTTGGCAACAAGTCGAAGGTTGGCTTCTGGAACTTCGGGTGGTGTAAGGGAACGATGTTTCTTAGCCTTATCATCCTCGGATCTCGACTCGTCAAGTTTGGATGTGCTGCCTTCACCCTCGGGAGCAGCGATCTCGGTTTCTTCTGTAGCCTGGGGAGCCGTTGTCATCTCGGTATCTTGACCCTGAGCCCCAGCTTGTGCAGGGGCCTCTTCCACAGCTCCTGCATTCTGACCTCCTGCAGAAATCTCAGCTTCTTTCTTGGCTTCCCCGGCAGCCTTTTCCTTGTCTTTCTTGAGAACCTGCAGTGGGAACGTGATGACCTTCAGCAGCGTTGTCAATTGCTCCATGATAGTAGAGCTCTCAACAATGAGCTTGCGGTCTAACAGAGAAAGCAATGCGTTTACAGGATACTTGCTTGCCTTGCTCTCCTTGGCTTTGCCCTTGCGATTGGCGCGGTTCTTGAATCCGACGCCGGTCTCATGTTCCGTCAAGAAGAATGACCAGACAGCAGGATTCTTTTCAGTCAACTGAGTGAGCGTGTTAAGACACTGTTGAACGACCATAAGTGGGGAAACATCCGGGTTGATAGACAAGGCGCCATTCTTCTTAGAGACCTTTGGAGTCTTGTCCGCAGGTTGTGAGGGCTGTTTTGCTCTTATCGACAGCTGGGCAAAGCTGCGCTCAACCGCATTGACGTCAGCACTACCGTCCTGGAGAATAGAAAGAAGGATGCTGATGACTTCAGCGCGGTTCTGGCGGTTCTCGCAGACATAACGTAGGATCGAGCTTAGACTGGTTTTGGCGCTGCCCTGTTGTGGAATGAACATGAGCCTAAGGAGGGTTGCAACACCCGCTTTATCGAGTATTTGCACGCAAGGACGGGCCTTCTTCTTTTGTGTCGGATCTTCCGGCTGATCCCTACGGTCACTACGCCTATAGCCGAAATCGTTGAACTGATGCAGGCGACGATCACCCCCCATTGCCCTGGCTTCTGCAGAAAGCTCAGGTGGAAGTTGCCGCAAGGTGTCTTCATCCGTATCCATAAGCACAGCAGCTCGTAGATGGGGATCCAAGGATGCGAAAAAGCTTGCAGTGTCCATCTCTTCTGCTTGTGGAGCAGCAGCGTTCGTTTGATTGCGACGACGGTTTTCCTCACGCTCACGACGGCGGCGGTCCTGGGCTTCTTGAGCAAGCAACTCGCGACGAATCTCCTCCGGAAGCGCTGCCAAGAATTCCTCATTGATATCCGTAGGTAGGCCCCCAGATGCATCTCCTTCCTGCTCAGCTGCTTCTTGTCCCTGTGGTTGAGATTGTGGCTGTCGCTGTTGTCGCGATTGAGCTCGTTGTTCAGCTCGCTGTTCAGCTCTACGCTCAGCCACCTGCTGCATCAAGACTTCTTCGCGCAGTTCCTCTGGAAGAGCATCCAGATACTCGACGTCGATGCCCAAGTCGGTGATGTCAAACTCCCGTCCTCTAATGGTAGTCATGATCCGCGGCTCAGTTGGCGCAGCAGGTGCCGCAGGCGCGGGCTCTTCGCTGGCAGATGCAGTAGAAGATTGACCTGCCTCAACACCCTCCATCGGCCGTGCTTCGGACGAAGTTGCGGTTGCGGTTGCGGCCTCTTCTGTGGCAGGCTGTTCTTGTGCCCGGCTTGCAGCCTCAGCAGCTTCGCGCTCTTGTCGCTCACGCTCCTCCTTCTCCTGAGCTTCGCGTTTCTCGCGCTCTTCACGCTCCTTCTGTTCTTTCTTTTCCTGCTCTTCTTTGAGCTTGCGAGCTACTTCAGCCTCGCGCTCTTCTTGACGCTTTCTTGCCGCTTCCATTGCTGGAGGAATCATGACTTTGAGGATAGAGTTAATTACTCGTTGACTCTTTTCAATTGCAGCAGGGCCGTAAAGTATCCTAGCCTCTTCTTGCCAGCGTGAGACAGTATACGCCTTCACAAAGGCCACTGCAGAATGTGGATCCTCACGCGCTGAGCGCGATGTATATGACTCTCGCATCCGTGCAATGTCGCGACGCATCCCAGTATCAAATGGTGGCAAGCCTATGGTGTTGTTGAAAGAGAGGTGAAGTGCGCCGCCATGCTGCTGCAGTGTTGGACCAGTGCCAGAGCTCATGGCATTCAGGAGATTGCTGATGAAAGAGACGGGGCTGTCAGCGTGAGTGAACATACGAGGACCACGACCTTCGATAGCATGGACCCAGTCACTGTTGCCTTCGTTGCGTATGAAGCCATCCCGTTCCGATCGAGCACCTCGCTGGAGCAGAGGGTTGATGCCATCGTCAGTAACTCGAGGCCCTGCTCCCGGGCGATGGGAACGGTAGGCTGGTACAAGAATTCTATCGCCTGGACCAGCGGGGAACATCCATGGGCTCAGACGGTGCGTGTGCCTGACAGCGGGTGGTGGTTGGTCTTCCCAGCTGCCGCCCCCCCATCCGAGGTCCGGTAGGCCTTCCTCGTCTTCATCCATGCCGGGGTCATAGTGGAGGTCCTCCTCGTATTCCTCTTCCTCATCATCCATGTCTAGGCGTGTTAGCGATCGTTCCGAGCGTTCTATTCTATGGAGGAACGGACCTTCTTCCTCGATTCCATCCTCCAAGAAGTCGTCGAGATCTGGACCACCTTGCTGGCGCATTTGCTCAAGAAGCTGGCCTGTATGGGCCTGGCTGATCAATGACAAAGCCAAGTGCACCCGCAGACATACCGCCATCACATTGATGCCCCAGGGAAGTCGTCCTGGTCATCACTCCAGTCATCTTCTTGGTCTTCGCCAAGGCTGGCGTAGTCATCGTCACCTGTGATTTTCTGCATGGCGTCCATCGCCTCCTCCATATCATGCATATCATGCATATCGTCACCTTCGTCGTCATCCATGTCATCTTCGTCCCCATCTTCATCGTCATCATCATCATCAGACTCATTGTCAGAGGCCGAGCCCATGCCGTTTTCATCATCATCAAGCTCAATCTCAACGTCAACATCTCCAGGGAGACCTTCGATCGGACCCATGCCATCAATGTCCATCTCCATAATCTCCTCGTCTTCATCTGAGACAACATCGTCGTCACCAATATCAGCTTCGTCATACTCCATGTCGTCTGCGTATGCGTCGTCGTACATCATCTCTTCGCCTTCTTCACCTTCAGAGTCTTCGTCAGACTCAGACTCGTGGGGTGGCTCAAACATGCCCAGTGTTGAGTTGCGGAACAAATCAGGCGTCTCCTCGCGTGTGTTGTCGACAAGGTCATCATCAGACGCTGTTGAGATTTCATACTCGTCGGCAGAATCGGGGGCTGAGGATGTATCGTAATGCATACTTAAATCCATGGCCACGTAGCACAGCCACTTCAGAGGCTTTAGTATGTACTTGACCACTCGCTTGGCATTGGGGAAGTTGAGATCGATGTCTGAGATTGCCGTTGTCAGGATCGTAACGAAGTTCTTCTCATACATAATCTTGGCCATCTGCTTGAGATTTGGCGTGAGTTCCGCATTCTGGGTGAGCATCTCTCCATTCGGACGCTGAGAGACCATCTTGGAGAATATATCTGCAATGCTCAAGAGACGCGAGTATTTCATATCCAGTGGCTCATCCGAAGCATTTGCATCCTTGAAGGCCTTGATAGCATGCTCTAGGACGAACTTGCGTACAAACAGCAAGTCTGGCTCCGTCTCCACATATGGCGACAGCGGTATATCGGTCTTGGGAACGGTATGCTCTCCTGTCTTGTTGCATAGTGAAACAATAACATCGATTGCACAGTTTGACGTCGCCAACTTCTTCTTGAATGCAAGATCGCCTTCGGGGTTCAGGGTGCCGATAGGAACCAGGTTGTTCAAGAGATAGTTCAAAACGCCGGAACGAGGCTTTGATGGTGTCACAGCATAAGGGTCTGCCTTTCGGGAAAAGTTGATAAACTCAATCTTTGTGCGATTGTAGCTCTGCAGAAGCTCTGCCAGACACTTCAAGATGAAGCAACGGTAAATGTAGATGGGATGTGCATCTGCCTTGAAAACAGGCTTCTCGGATTTGGCAGGCTCAGAGGAAGCAGCAGTAGGAATGGGCGTCATTTCAGAACCCGACTGAGTGCTTGCTTGAGTGCTTGCTTGAGTGCTTGCTTGTCCTTCAGGTGCACTCTCAGTTGGCTTGGGTGGCTCAGGCTTGTCTTCAGCCTCCTTGTAGGCTAGCAATTCACAAAGGAGGTAGTGAATGACACCATCAGGGTTCTCAACAACGGGTACCTTGAGGTCAGATGTCTTTGTTCGCTCGAGGAATGGCTGTTTCGGCGCTTCACTGGATTCCTTGGGCTTGTCCGCTTCCGAGACGACTTCCGAGGATCCAATGGTGTCTGTCACCTCAGTTGGAGATGGCTCTACCTTCTTGAGGACAAGGGTTTGCGGCCGCTGATTTGGATCGACTCGAGCCAATTGGAGCTTCTCATTGGTAACCTCGACGAAGATCTCTGGCGCGCGGATAGCCAGTGCATACATTTGACGGGTATATCCAGTCGTGTCGGTCTGCCTTCGATCACGTGACTCAAACATCTGCTGGATCTCCGTACGCATGATCTGTCCGATCATCTCGTCGTCCTCAATCATGTGACGGAGGACAATCATGAAAGCGCTACGTAATCCCTCGTTGGTGATACCAGAAAGTTGCTTGACCATCAGGAACAGTCGCTGGACATTGCGCTTCTCTGCAAGACGCATGGCAAGCTTGCGTGTCCGAGTAAGCATGACTAGCACGCGTGTCACCGATAGAGCCAGAGACTCCTCTTTGCCAATGCGAGGAAGGATTTCGATAATGGCACTGAAAAGCTTGTCTTTCTCCTCCATACTCACGATGGGCTCAGGTAGTTGGTCAACTGAAGTCTCTTCCTGGGAGTCTTCAGTCGGCGGGGTCCATGCAATCTGCTGCGGTAGTTGATCCTCGGCTAGCAATCGCTCGATAATGAGCAACACCTGCCCGATCCAAGGAGAAGAGTCTTCGGCAGATTGATCTGGGAAAATCTTGATGAATCCCAGAAGCATTGTGAAGTTGTCCTTGAGTTCTTCCACAATAACATCGTAGAACTCCCTCTCTTGAAGTACCAAGGCCAGAAGGTGCGCTGAAGCTGTTATCTTCTTGCTCTGGGTACGGAAGTCATCTTCGCTCTGTAGCGATATGAGAGACTGCACAAGCGTACTTCCAATATCTGAACGCATAGAGGCTGGCTCGGGTGCCTTTGAGACTGCGGCAGAGATCAGATCTGCAAGCTCGAACGTGACATCCTCATGAGAGTTTAGCACGTCAAGAGAACGATCAACAAGGGTCTGTCGAAGTTTGAATCGTTCTTCGTCCAGTTGATCCAGGGCAACGAGTTCGGTTGAATTGCCTACAGCCATGCGCTTCTGATATGCAAGAGCATCGTGCGGTGCGGTAATCGGCAGATTGGACTGGTCTGCTGGTACAGGCGTAACAGAACTAGGCGGTTCCGGTTGTGTAGCTACAGAAGCATCGGCATCCTCCATCTGAACAGACTGGGTCTCTGGGTGCCGGGATTCATCCTCGTCCCGCGTAACCTCACTAGAAGTCATGCTAGCATCATCCGTGTGCTCGGGCACCACGACCTCAGCTCTACTTGGTGATGCAGATGGTGGACCTCGAGTCTGAATCTCGTACTGCGGTATCGGGTTCCTCGAAACATGCGGACGAGCTTGGTTCCTACAATACTCGCTTGCCATGTTGAAATTATCAGCGCAGCGATAAAGCGCCTCTTCGGCAAGGCTCTCTTCGTGTTGCATTTCCCTCAATCGGGGGATGTGTTCCTGATTACGAGGGGTCCATGGCTTGATGATTGGCTTGCTGCGCTTTGGAATCTTGTCGATGCTCTTGAAGGCTCCGCCCTCGCCTTCGCACTCAAGGACAGACTTGAGGATGTTGATGGACGTCTTTACGATGGACGTAGTAGCCTTGTCAATGAGCTCTGAATTCCAGATTTTCTCAACAGGCCGGATGACTGCATAACGTAGCTCTACGAGAAACTGGGCCGTCAAGAAAAAGTCGGACCGCTCCTTATCACGATCTGACCGACTCTGCATCGACGCAGTCTGTGGTGACTCTCCGATTACTTTGAAATTGATGATATGAGAGAAGAAAGCAAGAATGATCTTGATACCACCAAGCGATAAGTTGAGGAGTCGCTTAGACTCTTCGTTGTTCTCTTCTGCCTGCTTTTGAGTGATCTCAAGCGCCGATTCATAAAACTGGTTGAGAATATTCGCAAGAACCTCAAAGCCACCCAGATTACGGAATGACACGAGTAGCAGAGTCAGTGCCTGAGGTCGATCCACATGAGGCTCAATAATGAGCTGCGATAAGGATGTAAGTACTACAATCCAGTACGCATAACGATCCTCAATGATCTCCGAGTCTTTGGGACCCTCGTACTCGAGCTGGTCAATGACTGCTTGGGCGAGTTGGTCTGCCACAATAGTAGCACATTGTCGTTGATACGGCTCCAAGCTACGACGGAAGAGCAGTAGTTTACCGAGCGACTGGAAGAACGGCGCAATTTCAGTAGGGATCTTGCTTAGAAGATTCCGCAGAGTCTGTGTATTCTTGAACCTAGCACTGTTCTGGCTCACAGCAGCAGTCTCAGAGGCTGTGCGCGAAGCAGCGGAAGTCTCTGTTCCGGTTGATGGCTCAGTGGCACTGTTCCCGATGCGGAAGACATTGTCTGCTTCATCATTACCAAATCCAGAGCTGGCGACGCGAGTCTCCTTCTCCCACTCAGTAGGCATGTTGCGTTGGAGGAGAAGTTCTTCCCAGACGCAGCTACGGTGCAGCTTGCCAAGGCTGTCGACAAGGCGTGCATACATATCTGCGAGATTGATTTGGCTGGAAACGTTGTGCGCAGAACGGTTGCTGTACATCTGGCTCTGGAATGTCAAAGTCATGGCACCAACAAGAGTATGTGCAGATACAAGGGCTTTGACATATTGCGTGCCACGCTGCACATGCTCATTGTCTTGAGGAGTGCCAGCGCTGGTGAAAGGAGCGAAGAAAGCTTGCTTGCCGGTGTGATCGAGCAGTGGCTGGAGGCGCTCCAGAGCCTGCTGTGTGCGCTTGATAAGGGATGGCACAGCAATGTGTGGTTTCTGCTCCACAAGGACCTGGACGACGTGACCAAAATGCTCAAACATGCTGCGATTCTCGCTGGGCTTCGGGTCTAGGCAAGCGAGATTAGAAATGTCGAGAATCGAGTCGACACCATCAAGCTCGATGTAGGCAGCACACATTGCGTGGTTGGAGAAGAACCCTGAGAGGAATCGGCAAAGCACGCGGATGTATTGACTTGTGGTAGGTCCCTTGGTGTTGTCTTCAGTCTCGGTAACCTGTTCGATGAAAACTACCTCGTTGGCAGCTTCATCGGCGTCCTTCATTTCAACATCTGTACCAGCCTTGTCGGAGGCTTGGCTGGTTATCAGCTGTTGACGAGAACCACACAGTGCTTGGCGACCACCTGCAACAGCAAGCTTTCCAGCGGCATCTTCGGTCCATAACTTGGCTCCAATGCCGTCCTTCTCGGCCTTGTCTGCGCAGAGTTGGACCACACGAGCAATCAGCTCGCTCATACACGCAAGAACACGAGCCTTCAGTGGCGGATGGTGGCGTACTAGCTCATCGAACGAGTTTCCGATCATGGTGGGCATCTCTGGATCAGCGTCGAGTGCTTTGATATGAGCAGGACTCTCAAAGATCTCAAAGAAGCGCTTGAGGGCAGTGGACGATTGGAAGAGCTTCATACCCGCTTCTGCCAAGCAGATCGCATCGAAGGCCGGTGGAATTGTGGAGATGGCTTCAGCAACAGGCAGAATACCCTCAGCAAGTGGCTTTCCTTCTTTGCGTGGTGGGTATGATGTCGAGGTCGAAGCACTCTCACTATCATTAGCCGCAGTCGTAGATTCCGAAGCGGGCTCTCCAGCAACTGTCTCCAAGAAGGCCTGGCTAAGCCCTGCTTCGGATAGGACTTGATAGCTGGTAGGCTCACTGTGAATGAAGCTGGTCAAGATTGTAACAGCCATACTCCAAACAGTTGAACCAAAGATCTTTGCATTCGAGAGCACTGTGTGCAGGCTGCTCAACAGCTGTGGTGAGTCAATCAAGTTTCGCATCAATCGATCTAAGTTGCCGACCCCATGAGTCATCATGTGGTTGAGGAACTTGAAAAGCCAGCGGAGAGTCTGTTGATGATAGAAGGGAATTTGATAATCAGTAAGCTGAGTCTTGTACTCTTTGGGCATGCCTTTGTCCTCCTCGGCTAGCTTCTTGGAGGTGTCGACTTCGTATTGCATAAGATCAGAAATGATCTCGAGGCCCTTTGCAGCAACAAGTGCTGGCAAGGCGTCTCGCAGATTGTAAACGAATGTATCAAGAAAGTTGAGAATCTTTGGGTGATTGCGCTCGGCCTTTGCTGTACGAAGCTTGAGGACATCAACAAGAATCTCTAAGAGACCTGCAGCTACCATTTGTTCACCGGTACGTGTCTGTGAGGTGGGTAGGGTATTCAGAAGCGAAAACAGAGCATCGCGCCACTCATACTCGTCCAGATCGTCGGGGTTACCAGTCTCCTCGTACAGTCCAGCAACAAGCTTGCGCACGACGTAGAACAGCACACCGTGGTTAACGTTGACGCCGAGAGCAGTGCAAATATCAGGAGCTTTCGACTTGTGCTTTGAAGCGCTTCAAGAGCGTTCATGGTAAAGGTCTGGAGCTCCATTGAGATGCCGGTCTCACCGTTGCCGGGCGGGTGAACTAGTTCGGAAAGCTGGTAGGCAAGCTGTAGCCGGCGTGGTTCTTCCGCGTCTTGTTGGCCCAGCTTCGCCATGAACTCCTTTTCAACATGTACATAGCCCATATTGGCAATGGCTAGGAGGCGGATAGCGACCGCATCATCACGCCCAGTACGTCCATTGTTGAACATGTAAGCAACCCGGAGCTTGTGAAGGAACTCGTAGTGCACAGCCTCTGGCAGATTTGCGAGGCCCTCTTTAACCAGGTCATGGATATCGCTCTTAGCGACCTTGTCGGCCAACAGCTCGAACGTCTTTGGTCCGTTTGTTCTGCTGCTAGGTTGTCCGGGGGTGATGGCTAACGTGCTCGGCGAATCGGAAGCGGGTGCAGGCTGGGCCTGTCGAGGTGTCCGACTCGGCCCCATACTCGATGTTCTCCGCACCGGGGTTGGCGTGGTAGGCACGGGTGCCTCTACAGACGACGGTTTGCTGCTGCCTTCTTCGGCCGAGGGGGTGGACTCGTAGTACGAAATGAGAACACCACCAAACTCCTGCTTCATTGACGAGTCGGACAGAGAGTACATGCCAACCAAGTCAGAGGGACTGAGCCTATCAGTGCTACCGGTACGGTCCTTGCCCTTGGCTGACGGGGTGCCGAACAGAGGCGCTGCTGTTGTGGGACCCTTTGCGAAAGGACTAGCTAGCTTCTGGACCTTGTCGAGGTTGATGTTGTAGTGGCTAGAGAGGAGAGATGGGTGGAGTGTAGCGGGTGCCAGGCGCATGCGGGCAGCTGCATAGCGCTGAGCAAGACGATGGCCGAGGCGCAGAGTAGCCTTGAGAAGAGATATGGACGTCGTGTTCAGCAGCTTATCTAGGCGTTCACTGCTGGAGTACAAGCTGCGATTGCCACAGTTTTCCAAGAGCATACGGGTGAAGTTGAGAATCTGCTCGATCAGCTTGCGGTCGCCATCCTTGGATACGTGCAGGGTATCGAGGACGGCGTCGGTCGTGGTCTGGTTGGAGCTGGGGCTTCCTTCTTCGACATCGCCCTTGAGCAATAGCCGGCGCTGAAAAGGCTGTGTCTGCGGCCCGTCCACCAGGGCATACTCCTTGTTGAAGAGCTCGAGGATGTGGTCGAAACGGTTCAGCGCAGGGATCCAGTGATATGCATCACCACGGGGAAAGGGCCAGTGCCGGGGGAACGAGGCGAGATGTGCGGGCAGTTGAAATAAGGGTATGGACTCGGTTGCCTTGACGAAGTCTGCTATCATCGACGACTGTACAGGTAATGTTAGTAGTGGTGAGGGGTACATGAGGGGTGATACATACCAGAGTAGACTCATGTCGCGAAGTAGCCTGCTTCTTGATCTTCATGTTTGCGCCGGGCGCTCGGAAGGCGGAGCTGCCTCACATGCAAGCTTTACAGAGTTGCTGTTAGATGCGCAGTGGTTGCGTGAGCGTGGGCGTCGTCGGGATGGCACGGCGTGATATCCGCGGCGGTTGGACGCTTGTCCGGAGGCAGGTTGCGATTGCCTTTTTACCGACAGCGCAGAAAAGCTGAAGTGTCGGTCGCTTTTGTGGAGCGAAAAGCGGGGTCGTGATGATGTATTTAGGTTGTCACTTGAGTCAAACAGAAGCGAAAGTTGCAAAGTCCCGGGAAGGCTCAGGTACAACTGAGCTGCCTGGGTTATAGAGCCGGCGTGAGTGAGTAGGTGAATTGCTATTAGAAACCACGGTGCAGGCGTGCTTCTTGTATAGCGATTGTGCGTCTATAGGCAGATTACAGGCGCCGAATCTCTTGTTGTCGGGAACCTCTAGGTCGGGGTGAGGGGACGAGGTGAAGTTGTTGGTAAAGCTTTAAGCTGCAAGCACCGCAAGTAGCGAGTAGCAGTTTCCGCATCATTGCGACATGGCTCGTGCCCTCGTGGTCCGAGCGCAAAGCTTAGAGCGTCACGAAAGCAACGCGCTGTCGTCAAATCGATAGGTACATGATGAACACTACATCCGGCCTAGGGCTGGAATCAAGTCGTCGTTTCTCCCATCACCACTATTGCTCACAGTTGGTATACCATCGCTTTGCCTTGCTAAAATGCTCCATACGTACATAGTGCAAGTGTCAATCACAAGGGACATGCCTACTTTGCAAGATACAACAAACAAGTCGTCATTAGTTATTGTTGTGGGCTCACTCTTGCATACTACCACCACGTTCCGCTAGCCGACTGCTCTCGAGCCGGCTTTCCCTTGCCTTTCTCATCCACAAGCCTTACAGTTTCCTCCAAGACCAGCAGGTCCCGCTCGATCATTTCCGCCCAGTTCTGCATGTCCCCTACCTCATTCAACTTCTTGGTGCCTCCTTGCAATAATTTATCCCACTCGGCCGTTTGTTTGGCCAGCGCAGCCGTCTGTTTTGCGAGATCCTTTTCCTGCTTCGATATGGCTGCCGAGTTGGCGTGCAGGTCGGCTGTCCGCGTGCGCATCTCGTTGTCGACTGAGACGCCGACGCTGGTGAGGGAGGCGGTGACGGCCGCCCGCGCTTCGGCTTGTCGGCGGGCCGCTTCTTCTGATGATGGGGGAGGAGAAGGCATCTTAGCGCATATATTTTCGATTCGGTAGAGTGTCTTCGTTGACTGTTGTAGCGGATCTGGATGACTGCTCTGTGAGGTGCAGTATGGTTACTGCTAGGAGGGTGGGCCAACGAGCGACAATGCTGCGAACTACTATGTCATCCACCTATAGCCAACCCAGTCGTAGTCTCGCTGCTTGCGCAATACGGTAACAAGCCTTCGAGTGCCGACGCCATTGGAGGCTGCTTCTAGTCTGCTGCGTAAGGGTGTAACGGGGCTCGATGTGAGTGGCCAAAGGAAAACGGCCGTCGAGGGCACATCTCTCGCCAGGGACTCCCTACTTGTTCTGATGCATCGTAATATCCCGGACACGTGTACAAGGCTAAGAGACACGTCGTACATTGAAAATATGCGGCGGGGAAGTAGTAGAAAGAGACTTGAGTCGATAAACCTCCGACAGTCCTGCCAGCGGCATCTCGTCAGTACTCAGCTGTGTCAGTATCATCAGTCATCCCAAATCGCACTTCTCTACCATATCTAGTCTGGTGGTGTGAAGTCCGGCTTGGGTGATCCCATTGCTGTGCTCGAACACTTTACAAGTCAAAGAAATACGAGCTCTTTTTCAAGTTTAAAAACTTGCATAAAAGACCAGTCACAATTATTGAGGTAACGAGGCACAGCACTATCTTGTTCGTAAGGTACATGTACGTAGTAAGTAGTCGAGCAGTACAAGCGGGGCAATACTTCCTGTGTTGGCGTAAGTAGAGGGGTGCCAAGTGGCTTATCGATAACCACATACATCCATTAGACCGTTCAACAACACCACACTCTATTTCAACACCGATTAACAGCATTACCCCTCTTATTTTTTCACCTCGGCTTTGGACAACAACAACAACAACAACAACAACAACAACAACACAACTAATGCATGCAAGTTCTTGAGTTGTTGGGCCCAAATAGTTTATTCGTAAGATCTAAAGAGATAATAAGTCGAGGAAAGAAAAAGAAAAAGATATACAACTATCCATCAAGACGAGAACCGAAATCCATATGTACAATTCAATCATCCACAACAATCATCAATCTGTGACAAACTTAAGCCACAATCATCGTAGCAACACGTTTGACGGACTCTGCCACAGCTTCAGCCGCCTTCTCGGCCTCGCGCTTCGCGTTGCGAGCCTTGATCTTCGCCTGTGTAGACTTGATCTGGGATACCAGGAAGTCGACACCCTCACTGGCGCGGAGACCGTAGGTCAAATGGGCAGGCAGAACCAACAGAGTACCCACGCAGACGGCGTCGCCAGGCTGGCAGATGATCTTGACCTTGTCCTTGGGGAAGTTGGGGATCTGGTCCCTGTCCTGAGCCTTCTGGGTGTCTCCGTATAGAACGACACCGGCGATTTGGTCCTGGACGGTCTGGTCGAGCTCCTCAATGGCGCGGTGGTTGACGGCGGCGCCTTGGCTGTAGCCAGCGGATACAATGACTGAGTCAGGGCACTTTTGTGCCATGGAGTTGAGTGTGTCCTGGTAGAGCTTCTTGGAGCGCGAGTCGGTGCCACCAGGTATGGCGTTTGTGCCTACTGAGGCGGCGTAGGGGACACCCTCAGTGGCGATAGCATCCGCGCCAAACTCTTTCTTTAGGCCGTCTGAGGTAGGAGGACCAACGACAGTTCCCTGGATACTGTTAGTATCATACATTGGCAGGCCTTGGTGGATACATACCATGTTGCCGATCTCGGTAGAGCCACGAGCAAAGGCGAAGAGAATGTCTCTGCATCCGCCTTGACTGAACTCGCTCGAACTGCTTCCGGTACCGCCGATACCGCCGAACTGACGAACCTTGATAGGACTGGCCGTAGCAAGACCGGCGAGGGCAGTGATGAGGATAGATTTGGTGTACATGGTGGTTGATGTGCTAAGCCTGCTAGCAGAGATGTTGGTGATAGGTATTGATGTCGAGATGGATATTACGAAGAAGTGAAGTAGATAGAAGCGAATGTAGGAACCAAGTGAAGTAGATAGAAGCGAATGTAGGAACCAAGTTGGTTGTAGAGATCAAAACCGTACCTGATGGTCTTCAACTGAAGCTGCGTCCCCTCCTTCTTATGTTCCCAGACTGCTCCACCAGCGATGCCGCCAAGTTGAAAAAGCCCATGACTAACATGGAGAAACTCGGGAGGGGCGTCGCTCAGGCTCCACCAAGGCATCAATGGCCTCATCTAAAACGTGAGAATGACTCCACCTGAGCTGGAAGCCGAGGATGCTGTTGAACAGAAAGAGCCTGGATTGGCCAAATGCACGTCGAAATAACACAGGGAGTGATGCCCCGGTCACACATCGTCTTCCAAACGCGGCCAAGGACAATGAAGAGCATCATGGATTCCGAAAAGAGTACATGTGGGTATAGGACAAGCCCGGTGTTGATCCTCGGCACCTTACACCCTCATAGTGGTATCCAGTCAGACGTTCGACCCATTCCGACTACCGAGAGCTACCATCGTATCCATGCATGAGCATGTTTCTTTTTTGACACCCCCGTAGATCTTGCAACAAGTCAGTAACATTGGGCGAGGATGGTCCCGGTGACCTCGCGACAGCCTTGCCGTGCCTCGGCTTGTTTGCGACAGTACCGCAAATCATTGGTTACAGCGACAAATTTAGAGCTGTCAGTGTAAGAAGTTGAGGAGACAAGCGAGCGACTGTTTTGGAATGATCAGACGAGTTGATAGAGATTGATGTTGCTGCGGAGTCCGTAACGCATGGCATTGGGACTGGGATTGTCGATGATCAAACTTCTTCTCGAACGAAAAAGTACTGTTAAAATTTTTGGAGATCATACTAGCCACGCTTTCGATTACGGACGCCGTTCTTTTGGCTGATCGACAAGATGGGGGTCCATCCCGCTATTTCCCGTTTGGCTATCTTAGTTAGCGCTACGGACGCCTGACGTTCTAAAGCGTTTCAGCTCCAAACGTGGCGCCAAAAGCAAGTACTACACCATGCCAAAACACGGCGAACACGACGGTGCAGGTTCATCGTTGTTCGGCGGTAAACCTCTGACATTTTCTTCTACACATGTTGGTCGGTGTCTCCGTCGGCACTTTAGAAAGTCTATCATACAAGCAAACTCATACGATGCAGAACAAGTCTGAGCAAATGCTGTGGACCAAAAAATCACTAGTAGTTAAAAGCAGTATTCCAAAAGTAGAGCAATGATGTGGAGATAATGACCATGCACGTCTACCGGTGTAGCAGGGACGTTGACTCGTGAGACTCCCTAATCTCGAAGTCCATTTGGAGATGTCGTTTTCGAACCTGTACGCCTCTTCAACGGACGTGGGAAATACTTCATGAGCAAGCAGGATACCTAGAGTAGAGTTGCTGGCGAAGGTAACTTTGTAGTAGCAGTGAGTGATTCGCATGGAGGGTCAACGGACTTCCGAGCGAGGTTATTGCCTTCAGCAGAAACAATTTGCGATTTGCGATAAGAGCTTTGAAGATCTGAGGTAGTATCAGCGCTGTGATAGCCAAAGCGATACAGTAGGTACGGGCTCGTAGTTAGCGAACAAGCCAATAGTCAAGAGAATGCCCAAGTACCACCTGATATTTAGCCAATATGTAACCTCGAAGCTTGAGTACCAGACTTAGCGATTCAGACGCCGGGCTCCATGGTCCCCAAGTGTTCAACGGGAAGACATCCACCGAACAGTGACCAGTCACCCGGCAACTCTACACCCGCATTGTCAAAATTTCCGCACCCAACGTACAATTTGAAATAGCCTTCAACCCACAGACGTATTTGAGAAAAAAAGAAAAAACATATCGACCCACCGTTCTGCCGCGCAATTTGCATAAAAGCCGCGACCGTTTTGATAACGCGTAGGCGACTCATGTTGCTACAGGGTACTCTTTCACTGACTCGATCTCGCATTCTCAACCCGGGTATGTATCAAGTTGACAATATCAAGAACTTGGGTTCGCAGTGGGAAGATCCCTGATAAGACAGCTTTCTCCGTCTCTTTCGCTTGTACTCCTTGTCTGGTCGACTTTGTTAGAATGAGAGCGCGTCGTCATTATTTTTGTGAAATATTGTGACAATCGACCTGCGTTCTCAGTATGCCTAGATAGATGATCGGAACTGGTGGCTCTGGAGAAGTATGCAGCGTAGAAAGACGGGCAGTCCCGATGACGTCATAGCCTGTCAAGTTCCGACTTGGCGCAGCACCTGCGAAAGTATCTCTAGGTATCCCTACAATCGCAAGCGCTTGTGATGCCACTGTCTCATATTGATGGCCAAGTTGGAGTTTGATGTGGTTTCCGACGGGTAAGCTGAGTTGTTACGATAGCCGATAGCGACCCATGCCTACATAGGTAGGTCCGGAAAGAACACCGCGATATCGGTCTAGTTGTAGAACATCCAAGTTTCCAAAGATTCCACCATTGCAACTACAGAGTATCCTTGATCAACATACACCTTGAAACCTCACTGTCAATTCAATTTCCACCCCTTCTCACACAATGCACGACCCAATAGCCGACGCAAAAGCCCAAGAAACAACTCAACAATACACGTTCCGCATCGCAACACCAGCCGACATACCTTCCCTCCAACAAATGATCGGAGACTCGTTGCGCGCACTAGGAAAAGGGTACTACACACAAGCCGAGCTCGACGGCTCAATAGGCTATCTCTTCGGCCCCGACTCCGTGTTAATCCATGACCAGTAAGTTAAGGCGTCCACCACCCCCCACCAAAGCAACACCTGAACTGAAAACTTCCGCAAAAGCACATACTTCATCCTCCACCCAGTCGCACAGCCTGAGACAATATGTGCATGCGGTGGATGGTCATTTAGAAAAACGCTGTACGGCGGCGACTCTGCGCCCTCGCCCCTGCGTATGCCAGAGAAGCGCAACCCGGCCTGTGACCGTGCCAGCATCCGCGCCATCTTCACTTCTCCCTCGTTCGCGCGCCGCGGGCTGGGGACCATGATGATGCGGTACTGCGAGGCGCGCGCCAAAGAGGGTAAAAAGGGCGAGACGGCAGGGTTTACGAGACTGGAGATGGGTGCTACGCTGAGTGGGGTGGCGCTTTACGAAAAGTGTGGATATGCCAGGAGCGGCAGAGAGGATGTAGTTAGCTGTCCTAACGGGGAGAGTATTAGGATTCTGCACATGACGAAAGATCTGGTCGAAGATAAGGGTCCGTAGTGGGAAATTGGTCGCCTAACGCATGCCAGTTCGAATGACGATATGCTGTACCTGAGGTTGCAGCTCTGCACAAATAACCTATATCTGGAAGGAGGTTAACCCTGAAATCTGAGGTTTGAGGGCTCATATGACCTGGCTGATGCGTTGTCAAGGAATGTGATTGTCAGCGCCTTGCGTTAGTGGATGATGGGGGCCTCGCGGTAAGGCACCCGATGAGGAGAAATACACTCCTTGTGGCGCGACGATGTAATCTTGATTGGGAATACGATGCGAACAAAACCATGGGGCGTCTGTCTATATTCCTCTTGTTTTGTTCCAATTTCGAAATTTGCAATATTTCCTCCGCTGGCTTGTTCGAGGATTTCATCTTTTTCGTGCTGTCATTACCATCTCTCTGTCCAAGGTTAGTTACTATCAAAAAGCGAAAATCAATATGGAAGAATGATTTTTGAAAGCAATCGAGAAGACCTACCTACGGCGACATGGCTGATCCGAAAGCGAAAGCGAAAGCAGCGGCGGCGGCGTTGTCCACAGCCGTTGTTATCATCACAGTGCCGTCAGGCACATAAGCTCACTTGTCCTACTTGAGAGCCTGTTACTTGCACGGTACGGAGATAAGAGATATCTTTTGAGGAGGGTCTACTGGGAAGAATCAATTGGCGACTTTGGAGTCCAAATTGCAACCTGTACCTGTACCAACCGGGGACACATCTCGCCGCAAGGACCCCTAAAGTACAACCCAGAGACGAGTACAAGCAGGACCTAAACACCATGGGATCCAAGTAAAGGCGCGAGCCTACAGTTTTGCAAGCGGCCCCAGCATCCCTCACCACAGCCGCATTGGGAGTACCGCGTCGAATCTTTGTTCTGAGCCACGGAGACTGACCGCAATTGATGTTGTTTGCAACTGGTAATAGACATCCGCAAACACATTGGCTCCACGGATGACGGATGACGTACAAAGGAAAAGCGGGGTCTTCAGCCTGAGAGACACGATCATGTTTCTAGCGGTGTGCGGAGGAATCGTGGCAGCAGGCTGCAGTCCTAAAAGTCAGCCCGACAGCTTCCGATAAGCGGAGACATAGCTGGAAAGCACAGCTGTTTGCATTGTAGCATCACGGGAATTATCTGAGAATGAAGAAGGATTTGATCTTTTTTTTCTATACGGAAGTAACTCGGACTTGGGGTATCGAGGGGTATCGAGGCCCCAAAGGGAAGCAGTAAAAAAATGTGGGAGAGGTATCTTGTGTCGAACCAAGAAACAGAACATGCTGCTACCGCCCAATAGGAAAATGAAAAAGCAACGCCGGCAAAGCACAGGAATCAAATGTACTCTCCAAATACTTCTCTGTCAATCGACGAAGCAAAGGTGTGCAACCAGACGCCATGAGGCTGCCTTACTGTGAAATGCTGCGAATTGCAAGCAGGGGTATCAAAATCGTGAAGGCCGGATGCTGTGAAGTGCTGAGGCATAGTCGGTTGTCGTATCGTGTCTGCCGAAGTGCAGAATGACAAGACGACTGTAAATCGTGGAAACGCTAAGAGCGTGACATGTGAAAATACAACGCATTACTCCCCAAATTCTAACGCGATGACGATCGACTTGGCCAGAGAGCGGTCAGTGACAGTTGTAGTAGCTAATAGTCACATTGGTAGTGGGGCGCGAGCCAAATCGATGCGTAACCGAGAGTCAATCCGAAAACAAAGTTGGTCTGCAGACCGTGAAGAAGAGCCATAAAATATGAGTGCTGGAAGGCTGACCGCATGGGTATCTTGTTAAGTCTCCAAAAAGTCGTCCATGGCCTTTTCCAGATCCTTGCTCCAGAGATACTCGTGATCCGCCTCGATGTCCCAGTCGACGGGGAGGTAGACGTCCTCCATAGTGGGGATCTTACAGACCTGATCCATGGGATACTGTTCAACCACGGGCAACTGATTCCAGATAAGTCCTGGAGGACCTTCTTCGCGGGGAAGAGGTAGAAAGCGACCGACGCCAGTCTTAGCGCGGTCGTCGCCCTCCCATTTCATCTCAGCCAGCGACGGCCAGGGCGATACCTCGTCTTTTCCGTTCAGCCAGTCGTTGCACCAGATGGTTTGCATTCCAAGGGCGCGACCGTAGTTGCCCACCTCTTCGAAGTTGCCATGCAGCCCGCACTTGTAGAGAAATTCCTGGACCTCGGGGTGGATGTCTCCAGATACGTAGAGAGCCTTTTCCTTTGACTCTACCTGGCGCGCCAGTTGGTTGGCCTTTGATGCAACAACCGCCTCTTTATGAGCAACATAGTCGCTAAGCTTCCACTTGGCAACATCCGAATTCTTGAACAAGCGGCGCATCGAGTTACGGACAATCAGGAACTCCTGCTGGACCTGAGCGTCGGGTGACATCCAGGCGCGAGAGTTGCGAAAACCGCCAGGGCCTCCCCTGCCGTATGAGGCCTGTGCACGATGGTTGCCTCGGAAGTCACGGCCAGGAGGTACATAGACGTTTGTGTTGTTGTACTTCGAGCCACGTTGAGCGGGCTGACTGTAGCGCTCCTCGTTCTTCCGTGCAGGAGGGCTCTTATCGGCCATCGTCAGACCACTGAGGTTAAGGGCGTCTGGGCTCATAGGACTGCTAAGGGTCGCAGTCCCATTACCATTTGAGTCGGCATCGGTGCTCCCATGGTCGTGGAAAGTATCGTCCCTGCTGCTGATGGAAGCCGGAGGAGTGCCCTGGGTTTGCTTGACATTTGGCAAGTCATTACTATTGACGACAGGACATCCGCTACCCAGCACAGCTTGCAGATAGTTTCCCATAGAAGGAGACATTGTTTGATGACCGATTGGTGTTGAAGAAAGGAAACTGAGACACCTGGGTGAGGAAACGGGATCTGTAATTTGTAGACCAAAGGTTTGGCTAGAGTGCTTAGGTACTTTTGTGAGGGTAAATGCACCTGAGTGGGCGTAGAGGAGATTTGATACAGCCAGGAACCGATGTCGGTGAGTGTCAAAGAGGTGGGTCTGAGTTGCGATGGACACTGGAAAATTAGCAATGATTCAATATGTGCGCTGGAACCATAGTAAATGCGTCACCGCCCACACCGTAACTATGATATGCGTCTCTAACCTGTGAAGACTGCGGGCGGTCCCGAAGTCTTCAAGGCACCAATGGTAGACGACATGAGTAGTCACCGCCTCGGAGCATATGGACGAGCTCCGAGTGGACGAGAAACGCAAGTTCGCTCACATACCTGTAAGTCGATACCCTGCAGATGCGGGGTTTGGAGATTGCTAGAGGTCACACAGAAGTGCTACGATGTTTACAGTCGAGCGTGTGCTTTAAGGAATTGACCTGCGTCAAAGTAAGAATACGCCACGATCTCGAAAGCTAATGCTCTTATACTTACAATAAGTCCTACTACCGGGCTGCTCAGGTGAGCGAGCAGAGCTCAATTGTAAAGTTCCTGCTGCGGAAGTATAACCTATGGTGAGGCTATGCGCTGCCTAGTATGAACAATGGTTGCCACAAAGTCTGCCTGATGACGGTAGAAGAGGGAGAGAGAAGCCTACAGTCTACTGAGGTCTGGATATTATACTGCTAAAGTCAGTCTGCGATATCGGTCACAAGGGTCGAATGTGTGCTCACCTGCTCGTTGAGCGGTGTATCCAGCGGTGCGTGGGCGCGAGTTCAGGGCGGTACGATGTCGCGTAGGCGGTGAATACTGACAGTGCAAGGTATTCCCAATTAATCGCCTTTCTACGAAACGACTGCGTTATCAAGGGAAAGTTTTTGATGCGCGAGCTGTAACGTGCGTGGTTAATGCGAAGCGAAGAGATCTACACGGTAGAGAATTAGAAGCTGCACCAAGTGAAGTCAGTAGTCGCTCCAGAGGTCCCGCAAGCGGTTGTCGAAAGAGGTTAAGCGTATGGGCGGGCGGACGGGAAAGGGTGTTGTGGGTGAAAGAATTGGTTGGCGGGGTGTTGTGAAGCCATCGTCACAAAGCACGGCCTGCACGGGCGACCAACATCGACGGCGCCCGGGATCGGGCAGAACGGGCCAGAAATGTTGATTTCAGGGATTTTACAGAGTACTCCTCACTGCACCATTCCTCGCATGTGGGCAAGGACTGAGTGAAAAATGAAAGGATGATAGGTAGCGACCAGCACTATCAAGCGGATGATGGGTGGATGGAAATTGGAAAGGGACAGAAAGGGACTGATGAGTTGATGATGATAGACTGCGAGGGAGAAGATGTGAAAAGGAAAAGGATGACGACCAAGATTGAGAGTATACCTACAAGCTCAACCGGAAGGAAAGACGCACCCAGGAAACAGAAAGTACGTCTAGCATGATAGGAAGTGGTACCCATTCTATGTTCGGATTGCGACTCTCGTCCGCACAGACAGTCATCGTATCGTGTCTATGAAGCGGTCGCACGTAAACTGTCACTTACAAAGTATAAGGTGTGCGCATAACACTTGACTGCTTTCTTGTACTGATGTCACAACACTGCGTTGTGAAAACCTGCTACTAAGCATCAATATCATTTCTGTATAATTATAAAGCGGTCGCGCAATCAGCTTTTTTCAACACTGAAATCCCATACTCCAGATGTTTAAGGGGTCGTGATGATAGTCGAACAGTTTTACGGGCCAGGTGGGATTTGCAGCAAAGAGAGCGATACCTATCCCGAGAGTTCTACAATATGATGGGACATGGCCTGTTTTGCATTATGAGAGAGATGACATAAAGAGTTGGGGCAGCTTGAAGAGTGTTGGTATGCCGCACCAAGGGAGCAGTGGCCGGTGTCAGTGCTGCGTCTTCACTGTATCTTGGATAAACAATCCAGCGATGTGTGCACATGGTCCAAAGACTGCGCAAATAAGAAGAATAGTGGGCAGAGGTATCAGGACGTGAAAAAAGGCGATCAGCATTACATGTAGCACGACAGGACGAGCAGAGGACAAAAACTTGCAAGGAGATGAGGTTGGGACGAAAACGAGCAGCTGTCTGAGGCTCAACAGCCGCTAAGCCCTTGATTGGACAGGAGCGGTCGAGCATGGGCCACGCTTTCTCCACGGCAGCGCTACGCCGCAGCCACCCGATCGGGGACGTGGCGCTCTTCGCGATCATGGACACTCTGTGCAGGTATCGCTACAGTCAAGCATCACGGCGCCGGATTTTAATATGCGATCTATTTCGAGATGAACTATCCGCGCGATGGAATTTTCACGACTGCGAGTTCGCATGTTGTCGTGTTAGAAGACGACTGGAGGCGTGTTGCAGGATGACGTCGGCACAGAAAACAGGGCATGACAGCGGCGCAGTACAAAACCGCGGGCCTCGCCCATCTCCAGCGCCTTGAGCACCTCCTCTGCCAGCGACCGACGTCCAGAGGTCGTGTTCCCTTGCGCTCGACATTATTCCCTTCCTGCAACGGCCGCAGACGTGACGAGGTTGTGCAGGTCGCCAGATCTGCCTGCCAGCTGTCTCTGCGCATGGTTGCATGCCGATGAGCGCAAGCCCGTGCAACAAAGGACACCCGCTCAGACAACTTGCGACAACCACTCGAGGTGAAGCCGCCCGGAATAACAGACGCTGGCAATTCATTTTGTCCTAGTGTCTTGTCTGGGGACTTCGCCAGCCCGGCCAGCTGACAAGCAAACGACTGGTCGGGAGTGGCTTGCTCCACTTCTGCGGGCGCCTATTCGGGCCTCCACCACACCCAGAATCGCCTGTTCTAACTTGAGCCTCGCCATCTTGTATGCACTGTTGAAACTATCAGGTCGTGCAGGCCTCTCCTTGAGGTACTATTGGTACCCGTTGGGGGGCCTGCAACTAGTCCTCGCTTCCTCGCGGTACGTGCAGCCCATTCATTCTAGTCATTGTGAAGTAGTTATTCACAGCGCTTCTCTCCACCTTCTCTCCTTCACCTGACGATTCACCTACTGTTTCCTTTATTGCATTGTACGGAGCGTTCGGTTGTTTCATTGTTGTCTATTGTATTCCATTTCAACACTTCTGCCTAATTCTTCTCCCACGCCACAACCATCTCTGGCAGATATTCCTTGTCTAGCTGGCCTACTCTTGCGACTACACTTATTTTCAACGCAACATCACATCTGCTACTCTTTTTCTTGGACGCCTGGACCTCTTCCGTCTCTAATCGTCGACCAGACCACGTTTCGCAGTCATCCAACGTTGCGATGACTTCCTCCGCGAACCAACAGCAACCCTTCCCACCTGTGCCTCCATCTATGTCCGCTGGCGATAGTCATGAGATGCGAGACTACTACCCACCGCAAGATGCACCACGACCTACAATAAACCAGACACCAAACTTCAAACCATACCTCGGCCTTCGAGCTAGGCTCTCACAGATATGGATCAATCGATGGACCATTCTACTACTGCTCATCCTTGTGCGACTCTTAATCGCCATCGCAAGCACTGACTCAAGTCTCGTTTCCGCCCGCCGGGAAGCCCTTAGTGCTTGCAACCAAGTCGAGAATATCGGCAGCTCCATGGCCTCAATGCCCCACTACATGTCCAAGGGTCTCAACGAAATGACTGCCTCCAGCGTCGAAAAGGCCATCAGCGGCCTCATGAAGATGCTCGAAATGAGTGTCACGGGTGTCGAGGAAATTATTCTGTTCGTCATTCACATGATGACAAGTACCTACCTTTGCCTCATCACCCTTGCCGTCAGTGGCAGTCTTCATGCTGCTGTAGAGATCGGCGACGCAATCAACAAACAACTCAACGAGACTATCAACTCCGTCACTGATGACATGGGCGACGCCGTCAAATCCGTCTCGGACGGTATCAACTCCATTATGGGTAAACTCAACTTCAACATTCCGGGATTCAAGAAGCCAGAAATCAATCTGGACGACCAGATCAAGAAGCTGAAGTCGCTGGAGATGCCTCCTGAGATGACAGAGGGTCTTCAGAAGCTCAACCAGTCAATCCCCACCTTCAAAGATGTGCAGAACTTTACGGATAACATCATCCGCCTGCCGTTTGAGGAGGTCAAAAAGTTGATCAAGGGCATGGACACCTTTGAGTTCAACCGATCAGTCCTTCCAGTGCCACAGAAGGAGGCACTAACCTTCTGTTCCGACGGCAACTCTATCAATGGGTTCTTCGATGATCTCATCGAGTTGGCCTATAACGCACGGAAGATTGCTCTCGGTGTCCTCATCGCTGCAGCTATCCTTGTTTGCGTCCCCATGGCTTGGATGGAAACCCGCCGCTACCGGAAGATGCAAGAACGCGCTGCTCTCTTTCAAGAGGGCCACGAGGGCATGGACGTCGTATATCTTGCGTCCCGCCCGACTTCTTCCGGCATCGGCCTGTGGTTCGGAAAGCGCTTCGGCTCAGCTCGACGACAAGCTGTAATCCGCTGGGCCTGGGCTTATGCCACTTCCATCCCTATGATGTTCCTCATTTCCCTGGGTGTCGCCGGTCTATTCTCCTGCTTCTGTCAATATCTCTTGTTGAAGGCCATCGAAGACAAGACCCCGGAACTCACGGATCAAGTCGCTGACTTTGCCGGAAAAGTCGTTTCCTCGCTCAACAATGCGTCCATG